TAATTTGAAAATAAATTAATATTTTATAATTATATTTATATATGTATGCTTATCATGTATACATACAGTTATATATGTTTGCAATTAATAATTTCCGTAAGATTTATAGCAGAGAAAGGACTTTTTTCCTCTCAGTAGCTGAAACAAAATGCAATAATGATTTTGTTTCTAGTTGTGTATTATATTACGACTAAGCCAATATCTTGTAAGCAACAGGCTTTTTCAGGGTGTAGATTTACTTAAGCATATATTTACATGGTATATGAAAATTATACCTATAAGTTTAATAATATTCCAAGGAACATTAGCATGAGTACTTCAGTTTATCTAACTGGATAGTCCCAGATGTGATTTTAGTCATAGGTAAGCATTATGGACATTCACTCTGAACTAGCATAGCAGTGACCAGAGAAGTATCAGAACAATTCCTTTATACAGTCAGGTATTATGTTGTCAGAATACGTTTATATTTACTCCTTCTTTTGCAGTTTCCCACTCTTCCACATGCCTCTTTTTTCTTGGAGATCATCTTCATCCTTCTTCCTTTCTTCCGCTTGCCTTCAGTTTCACATTTTTTTTTGGTACGGGTAGGCAGTGAATGATTATCAAATTCTTGAATACAATCTCCTTTTCTGTAGTCAAAGAAGGAGAATTTAAAAACATACAGTGATGTTAAATGCATATATGTACACAAACGTAGAATGAGAATAGAGAGGAGACTTCATTAATTGTTTAGTGTAGTATTTTATTTCTGCCTGTAAATTGCCAGTGGTTGAAGTCTGAGAAATAAATTTGCCCTCTGTAACAAAGTAGTGCCTCTGCAATTAATAATTGCCGTCAGACTTGCAGTACTGTAGCTGAGAAAGGATTTTTTTTCCCCTCAGTTTCTAAAACAAAGATGTGTGAAATGCAATAATGCTTTTGTTGCTAGAAGGATATGTCTGAGTTGTTGTAAATTTTCTGTATTAGTGGAGAAGGCATATGCTCTGTCTGGAGATACTACAAGTATAAGGTAAGGATTTCATCTCTCTCTGTTTAATGTTGGATACTACACAGTGGTGAGCATAGTAGCCCAGTTCTTCTCACCATCCTCCGCCTTGTGCCCTGAGACCGTTGTCATTTGCTGTGGTTGCTCATCTTAGAACTGACACTCAGTGTCATATGTATGCCAGTACATTCAAAAGCACAGTTTCTTCCAAAAACAGAAAACAGCCGGAAAGAAGAGATCTATGTGTTTTAGCACAATAGGAATGAGTATGAGCTACCAGCTTAGTATATTTGCGAAAAAGGCAGGTGTGATCCTATGATTTGCTGAGTAGGATAATTGTTTGGAGACAGAGAAATATTAATGCTGTTGTAAAAAGCATTTGGAATTTGGTGTTTGGACATTTTTGAAGTCCATATTCCCAGTGCATTAGGGGAAAAGCATGTCCAGAGGGGCTAATGCAGTGATGATGAGTATCAGCAGAATGGATCCACTGTCCTAGCAGAGAGAGAGACAAAATGGGTCTGTTTAGCAAAACAAAAGCTGAGAGGCGTTGCAGTTGTGCTCTGTAAATCTCTAATGGAAAGAGAGAAGTTTCCAATCCTCATTAAAATAAGGGATGGTGACAATGGGTTGGTAGAACTAGTGAGATGAAAAACCTGAACAGTCTAGGATGGAATTGTTTGACCTGTGATGATCTACCTGTAATATTGAGATGAGGTTCAAAGAACCTCCTGATTTTGCATTTCAAGATCAATATGATTCCTAATCCAGGGGTAATAAACAGTTTACCATTGATTGTTAACAATTACAGCTATTAAGCTGCAGATTTATTACTTTGAAGAAATACAATAACATGAGGAAAATTATAATTTCCTTCTCAGGCCCAGGAATCGTGAGAATTGGAGCAGGAATCAATGGCAGCAGTAGGTACATGGGGCTAATGCAGGACGTAAGGCTTTATGAGCGTAAACTGACACGAGCAGAGATCTATGAACTCCACGCAACTCCTGCGAAGAGTGATGTCCACCCTGTCTCTGGGTATTTGGAGTATCGGCAAGGAGAGACCAATAAATCATTCATTGTGTCTGCAAAGGATGACAAAGAGGAAGAAGGAGAGGAGTTATTCATCCTAAAGCTCATTTCTGTGCGTGGTGGAGCTCGAATTTCACAAGAAAATACCACAGCAAGATTAAGAATACAGAAAAGTGATAATGCTAATGGTTTATTTGGCTTCACTGGAGCATGTATTCCTGAGGTAAGGTGTTCATAAGGAAAATTATAGGTGAAGTTTCGGACACAGAAAAATTAGTGGTAAGACCAATTGACCTGCACAGAGCCTTGATTTCACATTGTTAGTTTTTGTAGTTTTGTAGTTAAGCAAAGTTTTTCTAGAATTTGGAAATGTGTAAGTTGTGCTGATAGAGCGTCAGTCTCACTGGCATTTGCAATATAATTTTTAAACACCCCCCCCCCAAATTATTTTTGTTAAGAAAATTGATTTTATTACATAAACTGAAGACTAAGGCTTAAATTTTTCAAGAAGAACATTTTTTTCCTTTATTTCTGTCACATCTGAGACTGGGTAATCAATTAAAAGATAAGATTTAATTTTCTTTTTTGGATAATCGATTATTACAAAGATTTTTATCTTATTTTTCTGCATACATGATGTGTTTGAAAGAATTTTACTAGAGGTCATGCAATGACAAAGTGTGATTTATTTTTACACAATCTTTTGCTATCATAAGTTATAAGGTATAAATTGCATATGTTTTGTGTGAATTTGGTTGATACTGGCTGTGAGTTGCCTTTTTTTTAAACATTAAGTTGTTCTTTGGTGGTAGCCACCATATATGCAATATATAAACTTGCTACTTTTGGGGGGAGGATTGAAATAAACATAATTCACTTTTACTTCTTTAATCAATTGTGAGGGAGAGAAACATGACACCTGTTTCTATTGGTGTTGGATTATTTTCGAAAGCAAGTTTCAGAATACTTTCCAATTTGGGAACTGTCATGACCTTTTAATTGCATTCTTTCTAACCGAAGTGCTTATGATGTGTTTGAAAGTAACCATCTTTCCTGTCTGATACTGGTTTTCAATTTGGTTCAGTTTGCTTTTTATGTGCCTACCATATGCTATGATAATAGATTCCTTCAGCTTCAAATGCCACTGATAATACTGTGATGCCACAGATCATTAACCAAGCGTGAAGCAAAATTAAAAATTTATATGGCATGTCAATTGTTTTGCAGTTATATTACGTCCATTTCACCAGGGAAGTATTAGAGCTCTCAGTGATGATGCAGATACGCAGCATTGTTTTATCAGTAGTTTACTTGCTTTATGTGCGTATCTGTCTACGAGGCAGCTGAAGGCACATGCAGTATCTGCACTGTGTTATACAGCAGTCTGAAATTTATCTAATGCTTAAGATAGCTTTACCCTTTCTAGCAATTTCCAACAAAATTATTTTCTATTTTAGTTCTATAATCATGATTTTCAAAAACTTATGGTCAGTATCAATACCTACTTTGTTCCAAATATGCAAAATTGTTGCTGCTGAAGTCATGTTCTCTGTGAAGACAGAATTGTAAAGAGGACTGTAGCATAGAAAATTTTTTCGAAGTTTTTACTGAATGATGATAGTATAGTTTAATTTTAATGTATCTATTTTTTTTTTTTCCATAGTGTTTCTAGTTGGGGAAAGCAGGAATCCAAATCTTTCTTTAAATTACTACTAATGAAAATTAAAATAATTGATGTTAATATAAAACAATAGTTTCAGTTGCTTTTGACATGCACATTTCAAGGATATTGATTCTGTCTTTAGCATGTAGTTTTGGGGAACAGATTGTGTCCAAAACAAACAATGGGTATAGTTATTGGCTTACCTTTATAGTTCTCAGGGAGATACTAGAAGCTGTTGCAAATTCCACTTGTTCCAGATTGTTCTGACCACCACTGAAGTTCAGTTTCAGCTTCCTACCACTCCAAAAGTGCTGAAAGTAACATGACAGCAATTTTTTACCTGAACATTTGACTAGCATTAGAGAATTCCGTGTTTTGCATTTATTAGCTTGATTTACTTTGACAATAACAAACATCTAAATCTCTTTCTTTCTTCCAGACTGCCGATGAGGGTTCCACAATATCCTGTGTCGTGGAGCGCACAAGGGGAGCCCTAGACTATGTGTATATAAATTACATTATCTCACAGGTTGATTCCACGGGCATTAATTACCCTGTTACTGATTTTTCTAACAGCACTGGCACTATCACATTCCTTCCTTGGCAGAGATCAGAGGTAAACCCTACCTTCCTATTAACTATTCATCCTGTCCTTTGCAAACTTGCTGGAAAATACCTTCTGAGGGTGCTTGACTGGTTTTCATGCTAGAGAGTGTTTCCTTCACATGGCTTTTGTTATATTTTGCATCCCTGACAACTAGCAAGTGATATGATAGATGCTTATAGATCTGTGTGTATCTCGGTTCAGGGGTCACCATGTGTGCATGTATGTTTGAATGCACATAATATATTAGATATGTTTATATATATGTATACATATAGAAAATATTAACTAGATTTATGTATATGTATATGTATACTTGAAGTGTAGATAGTCCTGGGCTGAAATAATGGATCCAGCCACTTTTGAAATTGATCAGGAAAACAATCAGGTTTTGATCTGAGTTTTGTAACTCAGATTCATTTCCACATCAATTAAAGAGACAACAGTAAAGTTCACTGCTGCAATCAAGTGTCTTGCAACCACTCTTGGCCACGTTCTGTCCCTTTTGCTTAATTTATTTCTGTGAATGCAACCCTGACCCACAGCACAGGAGTTTCACGTTTGTTTGAAGAAGTGTGGGACCACAATACTGTAGAAAGTTCATGTGTGTTTTCTCTTAGTATTCGTAAAATAGAAAGGGTGAATTGTTAGTAGAAAATGCCATCCTCGGTTTCACTTTTATCATTCTGCTGAAGTCAGTATGAACTGACTGAAACTCACTGACACCATTTGAAAGGATCCCAGTGGCTCCACTAGAACGGTGGATCTGGGCCCAGTTAAACAATGTAAGTGATTAAAGCTTGGCAAAAGCTTATCATATCTGAAAATAGTTTGTTCATGTCACTGTTCATTCAGCTTTAATTCTCCATTGAATCATATCACTGCATTGCATAAGGTCATAGAATCATAGAATCGTAGAATCATTAAGGTTGGAAAAGACCTCTAAGATCATCGAGTCCAACTGTCAACCCAACACCACCATGCCCACTAAAACATGTCCCTAAGGGCCTTATCTACATGTGTTTTAAATACTTCCAGGGATGGTGACTCCACCACTTCCCTGGGCAGCCTGTTCCAAGGCCTGATGCCTCTTTCAGTAAAGACATTTTTCCTAATATCCAATCTAAACCTCCCCTGGTGCAACTTGAGGCCGTTTCCTCTCGTCCTATCGCTGGTTACTTGGGAGAAGAGACTGGCCCCCACCTCGCTACAACCTCCTTTCAGGTAGTTGTAGAGCGTGATGAGGTCTCCCCTCAGCCTCCTCTTCTCCAGGCTGAACAGCCCCAGTTCCCTCAGCCGCTCCTCATCAGACTTGTGCTCCAGGCCCTTCACCAGCTTCGTTGCCCTTCTCTGGACACACTCCAGCACCTCAAGGTCCTTCTTGTAGTGAGGGGCCCAAAACTGAACACAGGATTCGAGGTGCGGCCTCACCAGGGCCGAGTACGGGGGCACGATCCCCTCCCTCCTCCTGCTGGCCACACTAGTTCTGATACAGGCCAGGATGCCGTTGGCCTTCTTGGCCACCCGGGCACACTGCCGGCTCCTGTTCAGCCGGCTGTCATATAAAGGTCATATAAAGCAAAAATTTCTGAAGGTTTTCTAGTCTAGCAGCATGGATGAGGCCTGCCTTATTCTATCTAGTGGCAGAAAAGGGCTGGTATACCCTTTTGCTCCACTGCTGTGTGGTCCAATTTATTGTCTACGTACGGAGGAGTTAATGGGCATGGCCCTAAGAAACAGATTGGGAGCTGTTGCTCGTCAGGTGAGATATCCTAAGAGACTTTCCATTGATGTTTGTAAGCTACCCATTCCCATGCTTCTAAACACGATCAGCCACTTAAACCTTTTCTTCTATGTTTGTCTAATACATAGGCATGTCACAATACATAGAAAGCTGGAATTGTCTGAGATGAATATGTTAGCCTATGCAAAGCAGGTTATGTTAATTAATAGTATGATCTGCAATCCCAAGTGTCAGGTGGCATAAAAAGCTTGCTTTACTTGCTCTCTAAATTGGATTAATCAGTGTAATTTCTCTTCAGAAGTGGAATTTCTTCAAGATTTTGAAGTCTATGAGATACTTCACTTTCAATATATACAATTTAAACTATGCTTGTTTTAAGATACTATAATAAATAATTGCTTGGTTGGTTATGTGTTTATGCAATTTGAAGCACTTAAGAAAATATGCCTTCCATTTCTGACAGCTTGCTAACATTCTTTCTGGAATACATATTCTAAACATAAAATATTATCCTAGAAGTTAGGTTAAATTATGTGGAAAGCAAAAAAGTTTTCCATGTTACTTTCAGAACTACACAGCAGATGCAGCTGGCAGACTAATCAAAGAATTTGATGAGTTAGGCAGTGTTATGAAACTTGTAAGTGATGTATGTTGCATGGTTTGATTTTTCCATGATTTGATCTTCCTCCAGGTCTTAAATTTGCATGTTATTGATGATGACATTCCGGAGCTAAATGAATATTTTCATGTGACATTAGTCTCTGCAGTGTCTGGAGATGGAAAACTAGGTTCAACTCCTACCAGTGGAGCAAGTATAGATCCAGAAAAGGAAACTACTGATATCAGCATCAAAGCCAGTGACCACCCGTATGGTAACAATGATGGAGATGTTACAGTCTTGTTGCAGATAGTTGTATAGTTCTAGCTCAACAGATAAAAACTTTGCTTAGCCTTGGTAGTTGAGGAAGCAATGACAAGTGTTCCACTTTATCTAACTAGAGATTAATTCATAATTTGTATACAAGAGTGAAAGCTGAGTTACTTATTCTTGAGAATTTTACAAAAAGGCATCAAAGCTTCCCTGACCAAATAGACAATGATTCCCTTCTGAGAGCAACTAAAGGTTGCATGTAGTTGATCCTGTGCAAGTTTTTCTTAGATGAGAATTTCTGATGAAAAGAGACATTTCTGCATGCTTATTATACCAATAAGTACCCAATACTATGACATATCGAGGCTCTTTTGGGAAGAGCTGAATTCATTATAGTTCTGTGGCTTTATCAAGACTGATACGGATATCAGTGAGAGAAGGGAAGGTACATACCACATCCCTGGAAATAGTGTGATTGAGGCCTAAGGGCATATCAATAACTGATTTTTAATTTAAGAAGTGCCACAAAATATAGATATTATAAATAATTTGGTTTCAATTGGTTATCATAATTTACATTTGGTGAGAGAAGCCATGTAAATAGTACTTTTTGTCTGCCAGGTCTGCTACAGTTCTCTGTGGGGCCACTTCCTCAGCCAGGTGATGAAATGATTCTGCCAGTCTCTGCTGTGCCCCATATTACAATTAAAGAAGAAGTTGGACACATCAGATTACTGGTAGTTCGTGCACAAGGCCTTCTTGGAACAGTTCTGGTGGAATACAGAACAGTGCCACTTACAGCTTTCAGTCCTAAAGATTATCAGGTATGGCCATTGCCAAGGTGTGTAATTATTTTGGTATTTAATTTGAGTTATTTGTCCTGGAGATAGCCTTCAGTTTGAGAATTTTAGCCCAGCTGTGATTCTTTTCATGGAAACATTTTGGTTTATATGGTGACGAGATAAATGAATGTGTAATATTCGCTTTAAAATATATATCATTATGTGACTTTTACCTCCTGTGTGTGCAGGATGTTTTATTTCCTAGGAAAAGCCTAGGAAAAGTTTTGATTTTTTTTTCTTAGGACCGTTGTTAACGTATCAGGAAGGGGTATTTGCTATTGTTGCTGAATATATCAAACTTCATATGAGCATTCAGGTGCAGGTACAGGTTAAGATTATGTTTGTACATAATGGGATTTGTACATGTTCAACAAAATAACCTGTGCCTGTCTGTGCTTGCTTGTCTAACTGATATTTGTGCAGAAAAATGTAGATGAATGCAGATGCTCCTAATTCTGTGAATTTGGATATCTTTTTCTCATAACAAAGATTCAGCAGATTTTTTTAAAAGCTTAAATGAAGAAAAGTAGATGTTTTGACAAAGACGAAAAAATCAAGGTTCTATTTCTTTTTTCATATGGATGAAAACATTAGACTTGAACAAAAATGTGAAGAGCTTTCATATTGCAGGCTGTTGTGGGCACGCTGGAATTTCAGCCAGGAGAAAGATACAAGTACATTATTGTTAACATCACTGATAATTCTATTCCTGAATTAGAAAAAACTTTTAAAGTGGAGCTGTTGAACCCAGAGGGAGGAGGTAAGGCACATACATCAATCCATTGGTTGTATTTTCATGGTCTCTACTTATCCATTAAAATCTTAACCTTTCTTAGGTGTATTATTTCCATGTTGTTTCTGAAGACAAACAAACACCCCCAGACAGCTGCAATTTTTCTTAACTGTTCTTCAGATATTTTGTTAATCATTGCTGGGAACCACCAGATCCCAAAGAAAATGTATTATTACCATGTATTATTGTCATTTAAAGGCAATTGATGCTTTTCACATTATATAATTTCATGGTTGGTAATGAGAATTAAAATAACTTAAAAAATGTATAAATTCCAATTTTTAAAAATTTGTCAATATTTATAAAATATTTAAGGCTAAACAGCCAAAGTGGGTTTTTTACCTGCCACTTGAATGAAATCAGAGGAATTGCGATACACTAGCTCATAATGTATTCAACTGGATTATAGCAGTAGGAGACTGTGGGTGTGGAGAGGCCCAGGGAGTTTAGCTAAGCCGGAGAGGTAGCTGGTACCTTTGTGGAAGAACAAGAAAAACACTCAAAGGAAATCTTGCTGTGAGATGCTAGTCTCGCAAGGGATGGCAAGCATCAGTGCCCTTGCCATACGAAACCACTCATCCCTTACAGATTTTTTTTCCATTGGAGAAAATTTTTAAGGGAGATTGTAAAGCTGGTTGGAGGGAAAAAAGTAGTTAGAAACATTGGCAGCCATAAATTGACTTTTTTTAAGCAATCCAGAAATGCAAGTGTGGTGCCTTCTGGGAAGTTATATCATACCACCTTGAATTAATCCAGCTCTCCTGCTGTGATTGTATGTCTGTATGGTGCAGTGTTGCCTTAGTGATGCTTTTGATAAAAATTTCAAACCTTTCATGCATGTGGACTTTTTGGTCGAATAGTTGTTTTGTTAAAAAGAACCAAACTTTTCTCTTCAGATTTTTTTTTGTCAGAAAACTTACAGCTAACTTTAATAATTCACTAGGCACATACCCTCTTAGCACAAACCCTCTTTTGGCCTTTCCAACACCATTGCAAGCACAAAACTTAGAGTAAAGTCTCCATTAGTTAAGCTTCCTGCAGATTTTTCCAACTTTCTGACACATGTTTTCACTTTGTGAGAAAATACTAGAATAAGAGAGTTTGGGGAGGTTTAGCGCTTGGTTTGTGTTGTTTTCTTTTTTAATTCACATTTCCAATCTCTCCCTGACAGACCTCATTTAGGAGTGAGAAAGGGGAAATACAAAGAGGGGACACAAAAAGGGAAAGAAAGGAGAAAACAGAGGTGTATGTGTTTTCTTTCCTTCTGACCTCCCAGTGCTGTTTCCAGTGTCATAAATTTAATAAGAGGTGGCATATATGAGACTTTTTCTGGCTTTTATCAGAAATCCTGTATACCTTCATATCCCAAACTGATGCCTTCCTAGAATGCTTTCCTCTCTTTTGTGTTGTCCAGAAATGTTTAAATTACTTTCTGCTTTCTCTGTATGTATACATGTATATATGTGTATATATCTGTATGTCTGTCATCTTAAAGTTGCTGAGCTCTTTAGAAATGATGGCAGTGGTAGTGGTGATGGGAACATGGATTTCTTCCTTCCAACTGTCCATCAACATGGTAAGCATTTTTAATTAACCCTATTTTTTATTGCTAACTCTAATATCCCTCATAAATTACTATGCTGACACAGCCTGGCATAGTGTTACTTGTAGTTACAGGTGATTCATTTAGATTTATCTTAAAGTTCTGCCAAAACATTCTTTTCCATTTTAATTTAGGCATAATTTGAATATCAGTCAGTGTTTAGTGTAACACAAAAAATAACAGCTTCTATACCATCAAAAGTATATGGTTGTAAAACACAATATAGTTATTCCAGAAGTACAGTTTGCAAAATCAATTTTGATTGAAAATTGTCAAATTTCTGGAAAGCAAAAAGCAATGACACTTTTTAAATTGAAGGTAATTTAAAAATTACCTGACTATGCTTTTATACGTGCTTTATGTTACTTTGATTCTCTGCATGTCAAAAATATTCTTAAAGAAAAGTAAGCTGTGTTAGATTTTTTAAAGGAATGTTTTGATTGTTTTTAATTTCTTCTCTTTAAGTTTGTATTTATGTCATGACATACAGAAAACAAAGATAATTTAATACTGAGAAAATTGAAAAAAACCTAGATGCAGAAATAACATAAAATCTGAGCGAAATCCCTAATCGTATAGGACTTCAAATCAAACCCTATAGACCTGAAAATGTTATATGAGTACCCATTATCCAAATTGAATAATTTATTCCTTTGTGACAGCCTGATTTTCAATTTTATTTGTACATGCAGAGGATTTCAGTTTGAATCTGAGAGTAAGTCTGTGATTTAGCCACTTTTTGGAGCATCCTGCATTTTTTTTAAGTGCTATTTCCTTTTTCCTTGTTTCTAGAAATGGTTTTCTTAAGTGCCAGGCTCATTCTGTCTCTCAGCAGCAAGTTGTCTCACCCAAGACAATCTTTTTAGTAGCAGGATTTACCGACTTGGTTTTTTCTTTGTTTTTCATTCCAGCTTATGTTGGACCTGCATTCATCTGGTCTATATGCTTACACTGTGGTTTACCATATAACTCCCTACCATCCTAAATTATGCTCCATTTTCGTTCATTAAACCTGTAATTTTATTTCTGTTCCTCCCTTAAAACAGTAATATTTATTATATTTCTTTGTTGCGTAGTTCCATAGAAGGGCTGCCAGGACTGCATTATTGAAAGTCAGTTCCCTATCCATATGGATAGTTATCATGCATTTAAAAAAAACCGAGGGCAAAATAGCATGGATACTCCAGTCATGCTCTCCTGTGTATTTTTTCGCAACATATTTCTTTAGCTGTTTTCTTTAATGTAAAAAAAGATGCTAGAAAAAATAACCCTTTTTGGAACTTGCACTTAACAGCTAGCTTGGGAATTGCGTCCCACATCTTTGTGACTATTGAGGCTTCTGATGATGCTCATGGTGTGTTTGAGTTCAGTACTGAGTCACTCTCGGTAAATGGAACTGAGCCTGAAGATGGAGATAGCAATATTGTGCTGCAGGTTAGAAAGCTTTGAGTCTCATATTGCTGTGCAGTCCTCTTCTGTCTCTGTTTTTACTGGGCATTCTGCGATGTTTTTACCATAAATCTATAGGGCTTATAACTTTATTGTGCACATCTGTTTTGCCATTTCATACTGAGTTTTCTAATGAGTATCATTCAGCTTGAAGCTAAAATGATGTAATAATAATATCCACAGGTTTAAAATTACTTCTGCTTGTTTACATTTGAGGTACTACTATTTTAAAATAATAGTGTTGATGATACAACAAATACAGCAAAGCTGAGATGATAAAGGTTACACTTTTTTTCAAAAACACAAATTTATTTTTAACCAGTCATGTCAATGTCTCGGCTTTATTCCATCTCATACCTTCATGTTTTTCTTTCTCGTAAAACAAAAACATGCAGATCTTTATATTTTTCACTTAGGTTGTGAGAACGCATGGGGCCTTGTCGCAAGTAACACTGCATTGGATCATAGTCTGTGATCTTACCAAAGACCTGATCTCTACAGATGGGAATGTAACATTTGATGTTGGCCAAGCGAGAGCAAATATTACAGTACAGGTTTCTCCTGATGAAGTTCCTGAATTGGATAAGGTGTTTTCAGTTTTGATCATCAATGTCTCCAGTGGTCATCTTGGAAATCATACTAATGCAACATTAACTGTTTTAGCTAATGATGATCCATATGGAGTCTTCATCTTTTCTGAGCAAAACAGACCAATAAAAGTTGAGGAAGAAACAAAAAATATCTCCCTGACAATAATAAGGCGTGGTGGTCTCCTCGGTACAGTGATGGTAACATACAGAACTATTGGCGATGATGAAAAGTCACCCTTTCTTCCTTCTGATGTTGTTAGAGCAATAGAGGGAAAAGATTATATACCCATTACAGGTTACATGATCTTCACAGCCAATGAAAGTGAGGCCGCAATATTTTTGCCTATTTTGGATGATGATGATCCTGAGAGGTCAGAATCTGTTTTTGTGGAGCTAAGCAGTATTGTTTTGATCGAGAAAGTACAGGATCGGCCAAGTAAGTATCTTACATGTGTAAAATCCACAATTTAAATAGGAAGGATAATATTTATATTTAATAGGATAAAATACAATGAGTTAAATGATAAACTTTTTATCTCTGCCAAACTCTGTATAGTTAAGAAATCTCTGAGTTACCTGCCTTGTGTGCTGTCGGCATGTATTTCCTTTGGTGCAGTATTTTGTCAGGGATGGATGAGCATTTCTTTATCCCTTTTGCATCACCTTATCCAAGGTCTTTCAGGCCAAATATGTTACAGTATTGGTTTTGTGCACTAACACCTGTTCATCTAGTATTGTTTCTGTAAAGTTCAGTATTAGGAAATAACTAAACTAGTTTTGCTTAATGAAAGCCAAAAAAGTCTTTTAAAAATAAAGTGGTATAGAATTACAGCCACATGTTGCTTTTTTAGTGTAGAGAATGTTTGCTTCATCCCTCATTCAGATAAATTTAGGTCATTACAGCCTGATTTGTGCTTCAAAGCTTCTTGGCATGTCTAATTGCTGCCCCCACCCCGGATTAATCTTGATGTTAAGGAAAACTTCAAATATAATTCTGCTGGGAGGTTGAAATCTTATTTATATTTCATCACAGCAAGTGTAAAAATGAAATTCTTCTGAACTGTATTGATCTTACTACTGACCTTATGGACAAATAAATAACTAAACAAATTATTTCACAGTACCTCACCTCTTCAAACAAATTATGGCTTGTATGCTCCACAGCAGGGTAGAATAATAAGTTATTAAAAATTGGGATTTTTCTGCTATAATATAATTCAAACACCAAAACTATGTTGGTGCAGTTTGTAGTTATACTTTATCCAATACTAAAAAAGACAATTTTGTTGAAAACTAGTGGCAACTAACGACTAAATTCACATGTCTATGAACTCCATAGCCATAGGGAGCAAGCATCTCAGGCACTCCCTCACTAAGTTTTCTTTATGTTTCAGTTGTAAATTCTCCTCGACTTGGATTAGTGGGTGAGACAATAGCTCATGTAATTATCAATGCCAATGATGATGCTTTTGGAACACTTCAGCTTTCAGCTTTAACTGTGCGAGTTGCTGAAAATTATGTTGGACCAATCATTAATGTGACCAGAACTGGGGGAATATTTGCAGACGTTTCTGTGAAATTTAAAGCTATGCCAATAACTGCAACAGCTGGTAAGAAATCAGAATAGCAGAAGTATGCAGTCTGTGTTAAAGTGGAAAGAGCATGCTGTATGCTTTGAGCGGTCAAAGCAAACAAGTGTGTATTGAATGCACTATTGTATAACAAGTAAAAAAAAAAAGTAGTGAGACATTTACTGACTCTGCTTAGCAAAGAGGAATCCAAACCCCATGGGAGGGATCATGCATCAGCTGTTAGAAAGCTCTGAGACATCATCACTGAAGAATCTAGCAGGAGAAATGAGTGAAGGAATTGGGGTGTTTGTTTCCCTAGTAGCCCACCACCTCTTCAAAAAAAGAAAATAAATAAAAATAAAAAATACTACAATAGTATATGTAGACTACTATTTAGTCCTGTGTACGTAATTAAACGCACCATGTGTTATTTAGGTGAGCTTATTGGAGAGGAAGTAAGAGTTGGGGACTCAGCCGTAAAACGGGCAAAACCCAATCAAAACCCAAGAAGACTTGAACTTCTAAAAATGGGAGGTTAAGTTCTCCTGGTCCCTACTATAGAGAAGGAACATAAAGAAAGGATCAAACTTATGAAGCGTGCAGGGTGAAAACAACTTAGTTATAAATCAAACCCACTGTATTTCAGCTGTGTCCAAAATTGCATAGGTGAGTGGTACACACTCTGAGAACTGGTATTTTAGTTTCCTTTTTATGTAACAGACTTTTCTAAATAAGTGTGTAGCTAGATTGATGTCAGAGCTTTCAATTAGTTTCTGAAGCAGAGCCACTATCCAGTGTATCACAGTTGTTCATCTAGACATTCTTAGAGACAAGTTTGCCTAAAGTGAGGTCCACACGCAAAATGCGCCCTTTACTAAAATCTACTTTGACAAAGGTGCTTCTGTTCACTTTTATCTCTTGGAAAGCCAGAGAGCAATTAGAAATCAAAGACAGAAACATCTCGGTAGTGTGACCTTGTCAATGGAGGCAATAATGGACCTTTTGTAATTACCTCTTGATCTAGCAACGCAAACTCTGTTTTGGCCAAGCCAAGTTTCGTTTTAATCCATCCAGATACCTAAAAGGCAATGGGAAATAAAAAAGACTGTGTGGTCTGGATCTGAAGATAAAGAAAAAAAAACATTAAAACATGGAGGAATGCATGTGTAAGCAAAAAGAGAAGTATTACTGATAATGTTCAATACACTGAACCATAATGCATTAATATTCTGTGTTTTTTATTGTTTTGTTTTTTCCATCTACAAATCTAGGCGAAGACTACAGCGTAGCCTCATCAGATGTTGTCTTACTAGAAGGAGAAACAAGTAAAGCTGTGCCAATTTATATAATTAATGATATCAATCCCGAAGTTGAGGAGTCGTTTTATGTTCAGCTGCTGAATCAAACAACAGGAGGAGCCTTGCTTGGATCTTTGACTAGGGCAATCATAACTATTGAGGCTTCTGATGACCCGTTTGGATCCTTTGGTAAATGAGTCTTATTTGCATATTTTCTCTCTTCTGTTAACATTTTTACTGCAGATTTGTGGGTGAGCTGTTACTGGGCAACTAGATAAAAAACTTTCAGAAGGCAAAGAGGAAGCCTGAAGACAGTAAAGGAAAAAATAAACTAAATTAAAACATGTAATTAAGGAGTAATGATGCTTTAATATAAAAGAAAAGTATTATTTAGTCAGTTGATATAGCAAGATTTTGGAATCTCCCAATAGAGATAGATGGATTTTAGTTTACTTTTTTATTTTTTATCTATTCTAAGAGCTGCATTTCTGCAATAGATTTAAGTCAAAATCTGCATTCTAATATCTGTTGCTTAAATACTTTGATATCTTTGTTTTACTAGATAATCAGCCAAAGCAGATTTAAAAATCTGGGGAAATTGAAAAATACAAAGAGCAATTAAATTATATTCTCTTATTTTCTGTCAAGTTTAGTTGTTCTTCCGTCTGTTATTATCAATAAAATTAATTGTGTATACTTTCCTAAATTAGTTTCATTACACAGGTTTTAAGAAGGGTTTTGGTGATTTCAAAAATTTAATGATATTTTAGAAATCTATCTTTTTCGTTTGCTGTTTGGTTTTTGGTGTATTTTTTCCTGCCTTTTCCTTTGATTTACCTGTTTCTCCCTTCAGTACCCTACTTAATTCCTCTCGTTCCATTTTGTCAGTAGAAGAAGGTAGAGGAAGGAAAGAAAAAATATCAAAAATAAATAGTTCCAGATGGGTAATTAATTAATTTAATTCTTAAAAACTGAAAGTTTACTACAAGGAAGACTTTTACTTGAAATAATTTCAGAGCGAATACGTTGACTTATTTCTTCAGTAAGTGACATGAAAGCTGCTAAAGAGTTTCCTTGCTTGGGAATAATTATTAATTTGTCATCTAAGAGCTTAGAAACAGCTCATGGTTAGTCTCGAATAATGGGTATATTGGAATAAACTTTTTGGATGAGGGCTTAATTTTCATGCTAATTTCCTCTGTAGGTGAAAATATTAATACTGAAAGTTCGCTTTTAAGTTTAAACGTGATTAAAAGTGATTTACCTGTGCAAGTAAATGCAATCAAGTGAAGTAAAACTATGTACTTCAGGAGTTGATATATTTACTTTCAACTTCATTGTTAACGAAATACATCTCTCTGTGCTGTACTTCAGTTTTTCAGATTACCGAATTCACTGTGGAGGAGCCTGAATTGGGATCAGTAACCATAAATCTGCCAATAATTCGCAATGCTGGGACACTCGGTAATGTTACTGTTCAGTGGGTTGCTACCATTAATGGACGTCCTGCTGACGCTGACTTGCAGGTCGCCTGGGGTAATATTACTTTTGCCCCTGGGGAAGCCGTTCAGATGTTGCTGTTGGAAATCCTGGCTGATGATGTTCCGGAAATAGAAGAAGTAAGTAAAGCAGTTACATCTTTCTTGAATAGTATTAGAGTTTTAAATTGTTACAGAAGTGTGTGCAAAGAAAAAAAAGGAATGTTCTGGCAGGAAGGTGCAAGAAGTTCAGATTTACTTTGCTTGTGATTATTGTTAGAAATACCAAAAATTGTTTAGCTGCATTATTTCTTCTTCTTTTTTTTTTCTTTTTGAGATTGTCCATGTAGAATTAACTCAGGCCTCCAATGGTGGTGCTATTGGGTTAGATGGCGTGGCAAATATTATAATACCTGCCAATGATAATCCTTATGGCACAGTTTTCTTTCATCAATCCCTATATCGAATTCAGGAGCCACTAGAAAGAAATTTGCTTGCAAATATAACAGTCAGGCGAAGGTTTGTATAATGTTTGCTTTATTTATATCTATTATTTTTGCTTTTTTTTTTGTCTCGGTTATAATTTCAAATGTCATGCTCCTCTTGTATATTCGCATCAATTTCTTGATCTGCCAGCTCAACACATTTTTATTTTATATACATTGGTTTTGAACTAGATGTCTGCTTATTAGAAATGTACATAAGGTACTTAAATGTAATATACATTGTAATGTACAATGTAACCTAATGTACGCAGTGTACTTGAAGTTTCATTTTGCCTATTTAATCATCAAATCATCTAAAGCTGCACAACAGCCTGCTCCTGTGATTTGAACAGAGGACAGAGTGGGTCAACCCTTGTGGGATGGAAAGAAACAAGAAAAGGAAAAGAGGTTTTATGCATCTGATATGATATCCTGAGGACACCTAGGAGGAAAGATGAGGAGGTTGGGCAGCACAGGCTTTTTCTTCCTTGACAGCCCTACGAAGACTAAGTTAATTCCTAGAAACAAATGTTTGCAAACATGCATTCTTAAAAGACTGCTACCCAGGCTATAAATAATCAAACTTGCTATCCACAAAAAATGACAACTCAGTTGTTCTAGTACTACCTTCTTCAAGGGAATCCACTTTAGTTAGCTATTTGGAACTTTTCAGCAATTCAGAAAGGGCCAGTTGATTTTGTTCGCTTTTATTCTTAACCCAGAAATATACAGAATATTAGACATACTTCATCAACTAACATTACTTTTTAATTTTAATGTCTTTTAGTGGGGGAAGGTTTGGTCAGCTGCAGATATTTTACAGCACTTCTGAGACAGACGTCGTAGCTCTCGCCGTTGAGCAAGGTCAAGATATCTTTGCCTGTTACGAGTCTCCTGTACCAGGAATTCCTGACCAACCATCCAAGACCAGAGTGAACGTGTCGGCAGCAGGTGACCCCCTGTATGCCTGTGCAACTCAGTGCCTAAAAGAACAAGCGTGTTCAGCCTTTACATTTTCCAGTGCCTCTGAGATTCCTCTCTGCCTTTGGCTGACAGAGATCAGCCCCTTAACTAACACTTCAGGATTCTGGACCTACAAGAAAAACATCACCAGTGCGTTCGCTCTCTTTAGCACCCAAGCCATTGCTGGCAGCGATTTTGAATCTGTTACAAGACAGTGGGCCGTAATGCAGGAGGGGGAAGAGTTTGCAAATCTCACGGTTACCATACTCCCTGACAGTCTGCCAGAGTTGGATGAGAAATTCACTATATCCCTTTTGAAAGTTGAACTAATGAACATCTCAGCCAGCTTAAAAAATCAACCAACTATAGGACAGCCGAATACTTCCACAGTTATCATAATGATGAATGGAGATGCGTTTGGAGTATTTAAGATCTACAGCATAAGTCCCAATGCGACAGAGAAAGGTCTGTATATTGAAGTAGAAGAATGTCCTCAGACCACCGTGCAGCTAATGATACATAGGACAGAAGGCAGCCTGGGACAGGTGACGGTGGAATGGCGTGTTGTTGGTGGAACTGCTACCCCACACGTGGATTTTATAGGTGTTGGTGAGGTTCTGGTGTTTGCTGAAGGTGAGGCAAGGTTTTGCATTAGCTTCTATTTTATGAAACTAAAGAAAAGCAAAAAGAACCTGACAGGCACTCAGTCCTCTGGATGTTTTGATAAGTGATGTCTTATTCTTAGGCTAACCCCCCCTGAATGCTCAGGATACATATGCAAAAGAATATAGTTCATTAGCATACAGCATTATGTTGCAGAACACACACAGTGGTAGTAAAAAAAAAAAGATGAAAAGCGTAAATATCTAAGTATTTTTCTAAGTACTTTTTTAAGAAATATTGCAGTGTGCATTATAAAGATTACCTTTTTATCAAATAAATAAGGAGTAATAATGCTGAAGATAGTTGTTATATCAAGGATAATGAAAATGAAAATCAGGCCTAAGTGGTCTTTTGTTAACCTTCAGTTAGTACAGTACTAATTTTTTCATGAGGTCTCTTTTTAGACTCTGAGATCGTATTGATTTCATAACATAACAGCATATTAAAAAAAATTGCAAACAGGAAAAACAAGTCAATGGCAGACATTACTTAAGTACCACACAGCATGACACATATATTTTATATTTTCAAAGTCAGAATTGACTGAACATTTATTTTAAAAGCAATTTATGGGAGTATAGTAGAGGTTCTAGTGTGCTAGCTAGCTTGCTAAATCACCTGAACTCAAAAGAACGGGTGCCAGCAGTGATTCTGAGGCTGACCTGTAATTACATTAGTGGTTATAAGTTTAGTAAAAACTGTTTTCAAAGTATTTTGAAACACAACGTAGCAAGAAATATGTGTATCTTGTAAACTTATATTCTCACAGTCATAAAACACGGGTTATGCACATGCACTGAACAACAGGATTGTGTTGTAAATTATAACGGATTATAGAGACTGGTAATTGATCGTGTTTGCTGTTTACACTATCATTCTTTGATAGTCCAGAAGACAAGTAACTAACACAATGACAGCCCATTTTAATGCATTCCCTGGCCTAGTAAATATATTCAAATTGAGTGTACATACTTGTGTATATGGTTCATCAGAGAACTTATGAACTTGGTACTTTTTTTACAAGAATGATATTCCCCTTTTCTAAGTCAAATTTGAAAGTCAGAGAGTTTATAATGCAAATAAAAAATCGAGACATTCAGAAATTATGCCTACATGTTTAATTTCTACATAGTATGTTTAATAATTTGATAATTACATTGCCCTAATGTAACTTTTTAATAGTAATTGAATAAAACTTCATAATGACATTCAGTAACTTCTAGACAGGTAAATAAATAAATATGCTTCATGTCCTTTTTTATATTTTTTGAGTATTTCCTACAAAAGGAGATGATTAAGTCTTTTTAAAAGGTGATTTCCGTGTGCACGCATAAGTATGTATATGTTCTTTCTCTTTGTAGGGGAAACAAAAAAGATGGTCACGCTGACCATTTTAGATGATCCAGAGCCAGAGGATAATGAAAGTATCGTAATCAGCCTCGTCCATACTGACGGAGGGAGTCGGATTCTGCCCAGTTTTGACACTGTCACAGTGATTATTCTGGCAAGTGACAATGTGGCAGGAATTATTAGCTTCCAGACAGCCTCAAGATCTGTTATTGGTCATGAAGGTGGGTTCTTTGTGTTGACCACACTCAGTTTGTTTAACATTAGCTTCCATCTCCGTGCTTTCTGTTGATAATGACTCACAGTGATTGTTTGTATCACTGTTCAGAGAATGCCAGAAAGCAGAGAATAACCACATACTTGGCATGTATTTCTTTGAATTTTTAACTCTTGCAAGTATAGCACTTAAATAAAATCTATGGAAAATCATTTTATATATCATCATCTGTGCTTCCCTTTTTTCTGAAGATCATGCCTTGCTTCTACTCGTATTGCATTTCAAAGCTCCTTTTAGCGTTTCTTGTCTTATTCATTTATACCATATTCCAGAACTGTATATAACTCCCATCATACACAGCTATTAGCAGTCATGATCAAATCTCATTCTATCGGTGACTTACAATCCACTTTAAATCTTCTGGAAAGTATTCCCACAGAAAGATTAGGGTCACATCTTCCCTCTTCCTGACTCAATAACCTGCTTTTTTAAAATTTTCTGTTTATGCTTTTTTATGGTAGCTAATTTGGGAATGTAGCACTCAGACATGACATTTGGGAAAGAACAATGGACCAAAGGTTTCTACTAGTGCTTTAAAAGAGCGTGTTGCTCTTTTGATGCAGTTTTGCATAGGATAATAATGGTACTGCTGGTGAATTGCTTTTGGCAGCCTTTGCTGGAATCTGAATGTATTACAGTATCATATCTCTCTGACATGTAAACTGATGGGCAGGGAAAGTTAACCAAACAGAAATTTGCTGTACAGGAATGTGTGCATTGCATTTTCTGTTTGAAGAAAGAAATCTTTCTCAACCAAATGTGTTCTGTTTTTTTCCAGACATGAAAGGACATCATAACTTTTTGGTTTTTATCTAGATATGGTTTGTGTTAATTCTGTGCTAGTGTGTGCCCGGTTTTCATTCTTTATTCCTCCACATTAACAGTTCTGATCCACCTGCCAAGCCAGCTGCAATCTGGCAAGCTAAAAAGAGCTGTTAATGAGCATAAGGAATTAATACAAACTGTCTCATTCCTAAAGGTTACGATGACCCTGAATACTTTCCACTGGTTAAATATTATTCATAGCATGCTAGCAAATGCTGGCCATTTGGAGATGAAATACTCTGCTATAGTTCAGAAATCACTTGATTCCAGTTCCTCCAGCTTGTGAAAAATAGTGCACTGTCTTGCAACAAGAAAAACCAACCAAACTAAGTCTCTTTGATAAAAAAAAGAATGAGCTGAGGCCTTTAGATAATTTCAGTGTTTGTATTTCATTTTCAGTATCAAGTTTTTTTGTTCTGAAAACGAAATTTACCAGACATAAATTCAAATATTATCTTTTTTATTTATTGTATTATTGAACAACTTCTGTCAAGCAAATCTCTATTATTTTCAAGTTGTGCATATTATTTATCACCGTATTGAGGGCAAGGGTAGCATTTTAGTGCAGGCTGAAGCATGCAACGGTTGTGGGGCTATGACTATATTAGAGGAAAATGCACTGCAGTAGCTTGAAATAATGAAGAAGAGGAGGATGGCTGAGGCCCCCTTCTCCCCGATAACTGTAGAAATCTAAAGATATGGATAACATGATTAAATATTAAAAAACTTAAAATAGTGAAATTAGCCTAATAACACTTTGAGTCTTCAGGAATCAATTAGTATTTGTATTAGTATTTCTTTCTGGATAGGGATACCAAAGATTTTGATAAAATTTGATCAAATTTGACCAAGAAATATGGGTCAGTAATTAACTACTTGGGGTCTATAATTATGACAAATCATACTTCAGGTTTCTTCTTAGTGTTTGGATTACAGTGTAACAGGCTTCTGCATCACAAAGTGTTTTGTCCCAGTCCTTAGTGAAAATCCATTGTATCACATAACGTTGTATTGAAATAAGCTTTGTCTAAATTGTGCATTCTGCTATGGTACTAAAGTAACCATTTTTCTGTTAAATATTTATTTGTTTGCAGTGTATGTGCAAAATTCTCAAATAGGATAGAATGGATTTCAGTGCAGTGTTAAACAATATGATAAATTAGCCTCAGGGGCACTTGTAAACTGGTAGTCTATCCTCAAATATCTGACTGTCAAAGCAGAATCCTTGTGATGTCAATAAATTTTGAATCCTTTTATCCTTTTAGAAGCAACATGGAACAACTTAAGACAAAGATATGAACATTGGTACATCCCCAAGGCTAAACTGAATTTTGAAATGTTGAGGCTGAATACACCTATTAATTCTATTTATTTGAAAGTGGGTGTATACAATTCTTGTATTACTTCTTCACAATTTTATATTTTAATTAATTATATTAAGGTCTCTTGAAGTTAGTTGTTCATATCTCTCTTATTGGTAGCCAATATACATGCATTTCTCTAATATTTCCTTACCAAAAAAAGAATACGTCTAGAAAGTGTTCAAATTGTTCCTGCCACTTTTAGCTATACAATACTGTCCTGTGATATAATATACTAGAATAGCCAGATAGCATCCTATCTTGATGCTCTTTAAATTACATAATCGGAGAGACTACCTGGGCTGCTCAATTCTTTACACCATGGAGTAAGAAGCCACATAACACCACATCTTCTCTTTCACTTTCATAGATGTGTCTCAGTGTTTCTCCGTAGGTTTGCTTCTAAGCGTGTACATAACACAAATCGGAAGCTGGAATTATTCCAGAGTTTGCAAGAGTGAAAAAAAATCAAGTCAGTTTATAGCAATACTAAGAAAGAATTTTTCAGTCAGTTGGGGATGGAACTAAGTTTTTCAGATTTTTGTTTCTGCATCACTAACATATATTTTGACAAATTTTTTGTTCATTCTTTAGTAAGCAAAAGAAAGCTCATGTGTTATTATTTCCAAGCATCTTAATATATTAGGTTTCTGCATATTTCATGTCTTTGAAAGCCAATGCAACACTGTACATACTGGCAAACTTAAATCCCATGCGCTTGAAAAATGCTGTTGACATACGGATACAATACACTTACATATTATAAATAGACATCTGTCCTCTAATGTGAATGTATTGCATAATATTACTAATTTTACCTGCTGATTTATTTCATATTGATATAACATGTTAATTTCACATGTCCATATTTAGAATATTTA